CTAGCTATTACGAATCAGTATGTGAAATATGAAGACTGTGATAAAAAGCTTTCAAGGTAATGGGCGGAAACCATTCTGACATTTAAGGATCCTGTGACCTTGACCTTTGGCCTAATGACCCCAATATCAATGGGGGTCATCTACTAATTATGACTAATCACTTTGTGAAATATGAAGACTTTGTAATGAATAGTTTTCAAGATAATCAGCGGAAACCATTCTGAAATTTAAGGCACCTATGACATTGACCTTTAACCTAGTAACCCTAAAATCAATAGGGGTCATCTTATAGTTATGACCAATCAGTATGTGAATTATGCGGACTTTGTGATAAATAGTTTTCAAGATAATCCGCGGAAATCATGTGGTCTACTGACAGACAGACCAACCAACCTACAAACATTAGCAAAACAATATATATTATGTACGCCCTCTTCTTCGAAGGGGGCATAAAAAACAACAATTTCATGACTAAATTTTATATTCTGAAAAGCCTTAAAGGTCATGACCTTTACATTAACTCCAAGCTATTGATTTTTTTAGAACTAGAAATGTGTCATCACGCCACGGATGCCCCCGAATGCAGCCAAAATTTCAGATGTTAATATATTTATTTTCAAATTTTTTGCACAAACTATTTTTTTTTTCATTTTAAGTTCAAAGCCGTTAAAACTATTCAATGTAAACACAAACCATTTTTATACAAAGTTCAAGGCACTGAAACTATTCAGTGTTAACCTTTTGTAAATTGCATATTGCATATTTGTAGCTAAAGTAATGACTACATACATTTCCACAAAAGTATGAGTGCTGAAACTGAAAATTAAGTTTTCTTCTAACATTCAAGAGAGATAACTTTGTCCAAAATCATTGAACCACAACCAAATTCAAACTAGAACTGCTTATTTCTAGGATGTATCTATATGTCAAATTTGAGTTGATAGTGTAGTGTTTTTTTTTCAAAGTGATAGGGGCATAACTCCACCAAAAATGATCGAACCATGACCAAATTCCAACTTGAACTGCTTATTCCTAAGATGTATCTATATGTAAAATTTGAGATGAATAAGTAATATCGCTAGAGAGATAATGAACGGAAACTGAAAAGTTCATATTATTTTCAAAGTGAAAGTGGCATAACTCTGCAAAAATGATCGAACCATAACCAAATTCAAACTTGACCTGCGCATTCCTTTGACGTATCCATATGACAAATTTTAGTTGAATGTGTAATACCGTTGGAGAGATAATGAACGGAAACTGAAAATTGAATCAAGGGGCATAACTCTGTCAAAAATCATTGGACCATGACCAAATTCGAACTTGACCTTTATTTTCTCATGATATATCCATATGTCAAATTTGAGTTGAATGTGTTTTGTTTGTTTGTTTCATTTTACGCCTTTTTCCAACAGTATTTCAGTCATATAGGCGGGTAGTTTCCTAACCATCATTCCTGGAGAGTTACACCAGTACTAAACAACCTTCCTCTGCACTAAACTACCAAAGCATCTCCTGGGGATTGAACCCACGCCAGAAAGGTAACTGGATTAGAAGTCATCGACTCTAACCCCTCGACCACGGAGGTGGTGAGTTGAATGTGTGCAACCGTTACTTAGATAATGAACGGAAACTGATGATGACAAGACAATGTTTCATATCTAAGCTCTAGCCCTTATAGATTTAAAGAAATAGATTTTTAAAATTTTAACTTATATACATGTACATAAAAGAAGAGCTGTCATTGATTCAGCTTGTAAAGCATATCAACCATTAAACACCTGGAAATAAGTTAAGCACCCCCCCCCCCTCCTCCCCCGAAAACATTATGTCATTTTAGGTTACGTAATCGTCAACATTTACCAACAAGAGCTGTCGGTAGGACAGCAACTCTTGACTATTCTTAGTGCTTGATAGTAAAAAAAGCCTTGATTAAAAGGTAAATTTTCTAAGTAAAGAAAAAGGCAAAATTTTTTTTTAAATCCATATTACAGTTATAGGCCTTGGAGAGGGTCCTATAATGCTCTCAAAGAAGAGTATAAAATTTCAACATGTTTCAAAGCCTTATGTCAATGAACTTTGAGGTATTACAAAAACTTGTAACGTAAATTCTAAGTCGAAAAAGGGGCATAATTCTGTCAAAATGCTTGATAGAGTTACCTCCTCCTGTCTACAGGTTGGGGTCATGATGTTGAACAAGTGTGCAAAGTTTCAAAGCCATATGTCAATGGACTTTGAAAATATTTGAGGTATTACAAAAACTTTAACGTAAATTCTAAGTCGAAAAAGGGGCATAATTCTGTCAAAATGCTTGATAGAATTACCTCCTCCTGCCTACATGTTGGGGTCATGATGGTGAACAAGTGTGCAAAGTTTCAAAGCCATATGTCAATGGACTTTGAAAATATTTGAGGTATTACAAAAACTTTAACATAAGTGGTTACGCTGACGCAGACGCCGACGCTCAGGTGACTACAATAGCTCTACTTATTCTTATCGAATAGTCGAGCTAAAAATATCCACCAACTAGAGGATGCTTTTGTAAAAAAGCGCATGTCTCCCCCACTGCTGAGAATAACTGTGAATGGAAACAGGAATGGAAATGGAGATAAGATAATGTAAATACCCGGTAGTCACTTCAATGAAGGCTGTCTATGGATGGTTTCTATTGTTAAGGTTGTATGAGAAGATGCTTCCTAAACTGTTTGTTTTTAACCAGGTATTCAATTTTGAAAATCCTGGTTATTCAATCAGCGTATGGCAGGCGGGCGTCAAACGAAATTGCACTTGATGGTCATATCATATATAGTTTCACAAATGAAATTAAATGAAATTGTGTCTGCTCCATAATTCTTCAAACCTTTAAAGGATTTTGATGATACTTGAAACAAACGTTCATATTTTCAGATTTTTTTACACTATTGAAAGACAACTCAAATTACAATGTATGTAAAATCATGATAACTGTAGTGTGTTGGGATGACTCCACTCGTTTTCACAATGAAGCCTCTCTGGTAGATACTTGAAACAAAAATTCACCACATCCAGAGAACGTGTAGAGTACATGTTTCGTATGGCTGGTTCCAAGGTCAAGGTCTACTTGACACTTGAATGTCATATCATATATAGTTTCATAAACGAAATTAAAGGAAATTGTGTCTGCTCCATAACTCTTCAACCCTTTGAAGGATTTTGATGATACTTGAAACAAACGTTCATATTGTCCGATTTTTTACACTATTGAAAGACAACTCAAATTTCAATGTATGTCAAATCATGATAACTGTAGTGTGTTGGGACGGACTGACGGACGGACAGGGCAAAAACAATATGTCTCCCCCCAGTTTGAGGGTTGTAGGTCAAAAGGAACTCTAGTTATCATTCGGAAATGAGAAATTGACCAACGGTCACTGTGACCTTGACCTTTGACCTACTGACCCCAAAAACAATAGGGATCATCTGCTCTATAAGACCAATCATCCTATGAAGTTTGAGGGCTGTAGGTCAAAAGGAACTCTAGTTATCATCCGGAAACGAGAAATTGACCAACGGTCACTGTGACCTTGACCTTTGAACTACTGACCCCAAAAACAATAGGGATCATCTGCTCAATAAGACCAATCATCCTATGAAGTTTGAGGTCTGTAGGTCTAAAGGAACTCTAGTTATCATCCGGAAACGAGAAATTGACCAACGGTCAGTGTGACCTTGACCTTTGACCTACTGACCCCAAAAACAATAGGGATCATCAGCTCTATAAGACCAATCATCCTATGAAGTTTGAGGGCTGTAGGTCAAAAGGAACTCTAGTTATCGTCCAGAAACGAAGAATGGACGGACGGACTGACGGACTGACGGACAGACGGACTGACGGACGGACAGGGCAAAAACAATATGTCTCCCCCCGAGGTGGGGGAGACATAATAAATGTTTTGTATACACTCTAACACAATACTTATAAACAGTAACATTTTTGGTAAAAAAAAACAACAAATTTTTTTATGCTTGTATCATAGTTTGGAGACCTTTCTGTTGAAAATGTGTCAGGGTTAAATCGTATACATATACATGCACAGTGCGTTAACTGGAGTGCGGGGTATTAGTTACCCGCACTCCAGAGCATGCCCATTGATTGGCTCATTTTTGCTGGGGTTTACATATTGTGACGGCAGAGAAAGGGAAAGCGACAGAAATGTCAAATTCAGATGTTCGTTCATTGGTTCATTTTTGCCGGGGTTTCATATTGTGACAACAGGGAACGTGATTTTATGTTTGACTATGATACAAAAGAGAAAGAACACCAAAACACTCAGCAACTATTCACTATTTAGGGTAGAAGATTTGTATGCGGCCGGATAGCTCAGTCGGTAGAGCCGCAGTACAGTATTCCAAGGGTCCCGAGTTCAAGTCCCGGTCAGGCTACACATTTTTCTCACCCTGTGACATTTGGCACCCAACAGGGGACCGTGTCTGGAAAAAGCTCAGAGTTTAATTAACATTGCTCTGTAACTCTGTGAAATTCGAGGACGAATTTCAATATAGCAGGGTTGTATGTCACCGTTTAGAACTATTCACTGTGTTTGCAGCCGGATAGCTCAGTCGATAGAGCCGCGTACGGTATTTTGAAGGTCCCAGGTTCGAGTCCCGGTCAGGCTGCACATTTTTCTCACCCTGTGACACTTATTTCCAGGTGTACATTTATCAACAATACACCAATATATGGATAATTACTAATAAAATACTAATAAATACTTGTATTATTACTTTTCAGACTTGTTTAAATGACTTCAGTATGATAGTATTGGCAATCAGCAAGCAATAAGTAAGTCCCCTACCCATTAGGACCCCAGCAATATATGTGACAATTTCATTACCTATTTTGCATTCTTTTTACTTTCTAAATTAACAGCTTTTTTCATAGTGAATATGACTATGTAACATATTTGCAGATGAATTGTTATTAGTTTCACAATTCTACAGGAGAAACGTTTTTTCTTTACCTGCACAGTTTGGCATTACCAGACCAATTCCAGTTGGATTTGGCAGATCTGAAATACCAAGAAAGTAACAATTGCCATTCAACCAAGCATAAGATTGTATGCAACCACATGTTAATACACAAACAAAAACAAGAGGGCCATGATGGCCCTGAAATTGCTTACCTGAATATAAAAACTCTCCATGAACAAGAATAATTTTGACCCCAGGGCTTTTATTTGAACAAACTAGAAGATGTTTCATGCTTAATATCTAACCTCTTTGGGTTTTTTTCAAAGAAGATTTTTTAAGTTTTTACTATAAACATATAAGAAAAATCAATGACCCCCCCCCCTCGCCCCGTTACAAAACTAATTTTGACCCCAAGGCTTTATTAATTTAAACAAACTTGGTAGACACACACTAGAAGAAGTTTTTTCTTTCAGTTGCAATGGTAACTTAAGTTCTGCATGTAATTAAATTCTTTGAACAATTTTCAAAGGTGACCACAAAAGGAACATTAGGGGTTTATGAGGAGATATTGTTTAATTAAAGTAAAAGTTTACAGACGGACGCCGACGGACACCAGATAAATTGTGATCACAAAAGCTCACCTTGTCACTTTGTGACAGGTGAGCTAAAGAACATTTACAATATAAAATCATCATTATATATACATTGTGTGATTTATAATGTCCTTATAATGTGCTCATATCCTTTCATAAATATCCCTGCAAAGCTCACATCTCTCTTGCTAGAGTTCATGACCTCTAACCATTTCATAAATATCTCTGAAAAGCATTTCTTTTGCTAGAGGTCATGACTTTTAGACTTACAGCTATTGAATTAGACCTATGATATTATGTACATGATGAAAACTAATGACCCCTGGGGGGGGGGGGCAATTTGCCCCAGGGCTATATTTGAACAATCTTGGTAGAGCTCCAATAGACAATGCCTTATGCAAAATATCTAAGCTCTAGACCTTGTGGGTCTTTAGAAGATTTAAAAAAAAAATTCTAAAAATTTCTTTTGGTTGCCATGGCAGCCTGATTCCTGCATAGAATCAAATTATTTGAATAACTTTGAAAGCACTTCACCCCAGGAACAATCATAGCAAGTTGAATTTTTGAATTTGAACTAACCTTTTTTTAGAAGAAGCTTTTCAAGTTCACTTTATAAACTGTATAAAACACACACACACACGCATGCATGTACACACACACAGACACTGAGACACAGACACAGGTGAATCTATATGCCACCATATCACAGATGCTCCAGTAGCATAAAAATAATCAATCTATGACAATTTAGGTTAAATTTAATAAATTCACCTTGACAATTTTGTCATTTAAATCTCAAGGTCATATTTGATTTACTCAAAATGTCAATCTAGTCATACTCATAAGTGTTTTTTTGTCCAAGTATAAATCCAATCTATTAATTGTTAAATAACAAAGTTATGACAATTTTAGCTAGCATCAATAATTTGACCTTCAAGTTATTATAAGGTGAGGGTCATATTTGAACTATTTGACATGTTGGTTTTGTCATCAGTGTTCTTTTATCCAAAAATTTATCAAATTATCCAGTAATAAACAAGAACTTTCGGAGGACAGTAATGCTTGACTATTCGAAAAAGTTGTCACAAGGTTGTTTTATTGAGTATAATAATGCTTACCTATATGAATACAAAAAATTGTCCGAAAAGGTACAAAGGCTTCTAATTAAGATGTTTTATCAAGTAAATTACTGCTTTGTTATTATGAATGCATAAAACTGTCCCAAAAAAAGGCAAAAACCCTTCAGTAGTAATGGAGATAACAGCTTACAAGCAAAAACTTTGCCATGAATTTCTAAGTTGAAAAGAAAAGAACGAAAATATTTAGTACGATCCCTGCAGAATAAAATTACTGACTGATTACTGACTGTTTTGTACCTTTGCTTATAACAAATAAATGATTTTATTCTAGAACAGCTCAAACGTTCAAAATATTAAAAAGTTGTCACTTAACCTTGTGTGTTTTTGTTGTAGCATCTGTTTTGCTCATTTTGATCTTGAACTTCTTCCTTTTCTTCTTTCAGATCATACAATATTTTTGCCATCTTAATGAGTTGAACATTGAACCTATATGACAATACAAAGGTATATTATTACAATACATATTAATGCCAATCAGCAATCATGATAATAATAATATCTTTATGTAGAGAAGATAAAACATTAAGAATATATACAATAGCAATCATATATACTGTATATTATGATTGGATATTTATGCGTCACAAAAATTTTGCTAATGTCAAAAAGTGTACCTTTGTGTGCAGAAATATTTGCGAAAACAGGATTTCTTGAACTAAATACTGTTTTTGTGATATCATTAATTAAGCAGGTACATGTTAAAAATATGCTGCTATTGTATTCTATTCAGTGGTTTAAAACCTTTATTATTTAAATCATTGTTTGAATATATTATGTTCAAGGCTTTTTTCACATGTTGGGGAAGCAGCCCTGCCCTTAATCTTGGGGGAAAATTACATGGTATATTTGTAAAAGGGGAAGAAAAAACTTGATGTAAATTCAATTTTTGGGGAAAACTGCATGATTTTAAAGAATTTTTCTTTGGGGAAAGCAGCCCTATAACGACCCCAGTGCTATAGAAGGAAAAAAAGCCCTGATGTTGATAGTTTGATAAAGGACCTGATCATAAATTTCTTTGTCATATTTTGAAACATTCTTTTGTTATATCAATAACCTATTGTATTCAAGGGGGAGAATCACGCCGTGCGTTACCCAAACAAACAAGATGGCGGATGCAGCCGAAAAGTAAGTTTTTCCTTTTCTTCTCTGAAATTCGTGATGTTCTTGTGTAACGGTACATATAATAACCTTCTCCACAATTTTCCTGGCACACAGGAATTTATTTTATTATGTTCCGTCCCGGAGATGACGACATATTACAACTTTTTAAACTCAGTAGTTTCAGTTAATATACATATATGTAAACGAAACAGTGAATTTTAGAGAAGAAGCCGTACGTTACCACGATCAAACCGGTTGAAAATTCTCTCGCTTCGAATCTGGTGACGCGCATTTCAGATAAAGTACAGAACGAAACATCATGAAATAAAATCCTGTGTGCCAGGAAAATTGTGGAGAAGGTTATTATATGTACCTTTACATTAGAACATCACGAATTTCAGAGAAAAAGAGAAAACCCTACTTTTTGGCTGCATCCGCCATCTTGTTTGTTTGGGTAACGAACGGCGTGATTCTCCCCCGTGTGTATTATTATTACATCAATACATTTGTGATTTGTTAAGAACAAATTAAACAAACAAGCAATGAGAAAAATTAATCTCAGTATGTGAAGAGTAAAACTTATCCATGTAAAATGCTGTATGGAAACATATGTTAGATAAAAGTTTGCCTAAACAGATAATTTATGTGCGTTCAAATATTTGCGAATAATTTCAATTCGCAAAAATCGCAAATATTTCCACATCGCAAAATTACCCATTTATACAGTATCTTATTTCCAATGTGGCCTTCACAAATAGAACAAGAGGGCCATGATGGCCTGAAATAGCTCACCTGAATATAAAAACTCTCCATGACAAGGAACAAGTAATATTGTAAACTATAAACAAAAGAAGATATAAAATCCTTAAACTGATATCATAAAGTTCATATTTGTATCTGAAATAGTGCATGCGTAAAATGATTACTGGCTGCTATAATTGCTAAGGGAAAAATAACAGTCCCCAAAGATGTGTACATATTAGGAAAATTGGGGCGGGGCCAATTTAACCCCAGGGCTTTTATTTGTACAAATTTAGTAGACACTCACTAAAGATGTTTCATGCTAAATATCTAAGCTCTAGCTCTTTGGGATTTTTAAAAAAAAAAAAAAGATTTTTAAGTTTTTACTATATACATAAAAGAAAATCAATGACCCTCTTGTGCTGGACCGATTATGACCGCAGGGCTTTTATTTGAACAAACTTGGTAGACATCCACCAATCTGTTTTAAAAGAGAATTATTAAGATTTTAATATGTACAAGGAAAATCCTTATGTATAAGGAAAATCAATGAACGCCGGGGCAGGACCAATTTTGACCCCAGGGCTTTTATTTGAACAAACTTGGTAGACAAAACAGTGGAGTGTGGGGGCACATGTGTCCTATTGACACATTTCTAATTTTTGTAGACATATGGTTCAGTATCACCGTCTTTATTTTCTTATTAAATTCATTAAAATCATAGCATTCATCTAACAGCTTGTTTTCAACAAATTTCAAAATGGCTGTGTGTATTCTTCCTGTTTATCAGACAAGATGATCTCACTACCTTTAAGTTCTGGCATCCATAACTTTATATGTTGCTTTTATTTTGACGTTGTGAAGGTCTAGCAGTACTATAAAACCTGTTTGCTGAAGTCTCTTTAGCTATTTAAGCATACCCCAATAATACTAGAGTAGAAACCCTGATAGGATAGATTCTTTTATTCCTCCAAATTTGAAGAGTACAACATATAAACGGTACAGGCAGAACATACAAGTATAAAGACATTGACATGATATACACACGGACGCTTGGGGGTCAGATTCTGCCCCCAACATGATACGCCCCTGTGAAATACACTCTATGAAAAATATTTTAATATTTAAACACGAATGGGACATCTGCTACAACAATACAACTGGTTTTCAAACAATTTTTACATATCTGAAAAAATTACCTTTTACCATCAAGTCTCAATAAAGTATTTTATTTGATGGCGAAGGGCGACCATCATCTACAGTATATACTCAACATCACTTATTCCGCATCATCATTTATTTCACGGTAATGGCATATTTTCATGTCACTAGTGTTAAAATTGGTCAGAATTGACATATTTTATTCATACACCTAAACAACAAAGTTTTTGTGCAAAATAGTTTACATATCTAGATTTTTGCGTAAAATAGCACAACATTTTACAAATTTCTGCAAAAAGCAACAATAGTCAATTTTCTTAATCTTGTTTGTTGAAAAAATAAATTTTGAGTTACAAAAGAAAGATAGTTTTTTAATATTGATAAGTAAACAAAATAACATCTAGAAATTTTAACTGAAACATGAAAAACTGAAGTGTAACACCATTACTGTGATTTAAATGATGACATACTGTTTTCAAAATAATAATAATAATAATAAACTCTTTATTTAACAAAGGTAACTTATTAAGACAATACATCAAAGCATTAGATATAATGCAAAATCTTATTTTCAACAAGCCCTCCAATAAAACATAAACATAACAATGGACATATTCAAGCAACTAACTCTGAGCAAACAGTGCCAAATCAGATTGTAAATGCAATCAGCCATGAACACGCTTTCACAACATCTGATCCTAAAGTTCTGAACAGAGTTCAGAGCAATCCATTAAATCTTTAAAGCAAAATGAAGATGTTGAAACCAATCAGGATACACATTCACAATTATATTTTTCAAGTAAACCAGCAAATGATGAAACTGATAACCTGATGCTCAACATTATAAAATGTGATGTAGCTGTACAGTGTACAAGTGATGATAAAGAAACAAATAAGTACATGGAATGCCTGGAAATAAACAAAAAACTAAAATCAGAAAACGAAAAACTCCAGACTCTCAACAAACAATTAATCAGTAAGTGCACAGAAAAGGCTAAAGCAGAGAACAGTGAATTAACTGGACAATTGCTGGTACTTCAAGAAGAAATACAAGCCCTCAAACAAACAAATAAAACATTGAAACAAGAAAATAAAATCCTTAGAGGAAAGTTGTCATCACAACAAACTGAAAAGGAAAATACTGATGCCCTGCAAAATGATGTGTCAGAAATAAAAGAAAAACTTTCAAATTTTTCAATAACGCTGAACAAGGTTTTGAAAAGGACAGAAAATATGCCGTCAAGTACAGACATCTACTTCCTTCAGGCTGAAATGACAAATAACAAAAATAATCAGCATCAAACATCATCCATACCAAGTCCTGGCCTTAGTCACTTTGATGAAAAGAAAGATGACCAAAAACAAGAAACCTGCTGTGAAACTCAAAGAAATCAAAACCAAAGCAGTGAATATCTAAACAAGAATCTCAAGACAAGCATAATATATTAATACTTGGTGACTCAGTTACCAAAGTACTAAGTTCACATAAAATGATGGACAGAAATACTAATGTTCAAATTCGTTCAAAGTCAGGTGCAAAACTTTGTGATATTAAAATCAATATTGGATCCCTAGAAAAGACAACAAATTTAAAGGACTCTGATGTATTTATTATACATGCAGGAATAAACAATATCTCTAATGCTGACAGCCCTACAACCATTATACAAGAACTAACAGACCTTATAGCTACACTTTATGCAATCAACAAGAAAGCAAAATTCATCCTTTCTTCTATTCTACAAAAAAGAAAAGACAAACTCTCTATACAAGTCATTAAAACAGTAAACTATGAAATTAAGGGACTATGTGAAACAAACGGTTAAACATTTGTGGACAATACACAATCATTTACAACGGATGAAAACATCAATGAAAGGCTGTACTATGACGAAGTCCACCTTAACAAATCTGGTGGTGCTGTGCTTGGAGGGCAAATTATGGCAGCCATTAAATCTACCCTAAACATCAGAGGTTCTCCAGCACAGTCAGCTGGAAATTTTCCCAGGGACAACCGTCACAGAATACCACCACATCAATCTTATTGGAACAACAGACACCAACATCAGAGGAGACAACAATATGAAGGTCACAACAGGATTCCCCAACACAATTTCAACAGAAGGATGCCAATATGGATGCAGAGGCCATATCCATGGACACCAGTGCATCATGCACCATACTAACTGTACAAAGAGGAATCGGTGACAAACTCCATTTTGAAGCTCTTAATGATTCTACATCTTTACATACTCATCTAGAAAATGAAAATAGTCATGAAAATAAATTTCCTCTTAAAATAAGTAATAACAATCTGGACTCATCAAATCAAGACTTAAAACTCCAAGACTTAAAATTTGACAAAAATGGACTTAACTTTATGCATCTCAATATACATTATTTATACCCAAAATTCAGTGAAA